ATTAGGTCCTATGATGATGTCACTTGAATAGATATGTGGACAGAGTTGGCATCGGATTTTGTTACAAGGATAGGTTCCTGGGTCAGTGGTTTTGTTCAGTGATGTGTGGTTGCTGGTGAGTATTTGCCCTGTTTATGCTCTCTGTATGTGTGTTTTTTTTTTGCGGATACAGACTAACACGGCTGCTACTCTGAAACCTGATAAATTATGGATAGCCTTTAGCGGGATAAAGTAATAAGTGTACACTAAAAAAAATCTCAGTGACTTGTAAGGTAGCTTTTCCCACTAATGAATTAGCATAAAGATTTGATGAGATCTAGGAATGCCGCCTCTAAATCATACAGTAATTTCATTCCTATATTCTGAAATGGTTATGAGGTATATTGTACAAGAGGAAGAACTGAACACACTGAATGCAAGGTTCAATGTAATGGTTTAGGATCTGTGTAAATTTAGAATTTCATGCACTTTTCATGTATAAACTAAAGGGGAATAATGTACAAAACCTGAATAAATCAGGAGTTGCAACTGTTATCATGCTGGTAGCTCCAGCTCAGTTAAATGAACCAATTAAAAATTAAGCAATTGACTTCTTCAGTGGGACTATTTGTGCAAAGGAGAGTTGCAGAACCTGGCCCTAGATTGTTTAAAATATTCAACTCGGTATTTAAAAAAAACCCTCAATGCAACCAACACCCCACTGCCAAAAACAAATCCATTCTCATCAGATATTCTAAACACATAAACTGCCCATTTTTGCTAACCTTGAAGCAAATACTTATCTCCACAAAACATTTGTTCACTGCATAGAAGCAAGTTCCTGTTTCCAGCAGGCAAGCTACTGTTATGACCAGTGGCTGCCAGGATCACTGTCTGATCTGCAGCATATTTCAGTAAGTCCTTTATAGTGTGACCATTCTGATTTTAAAAGAAAGTATTATTATATATAGTACACCAGAGCAGATGATACTAAGCACTATATTTCAGGATACTGGCTGCATAGAATGTGGCCCTTAAAAACTTGCCAATTTTATCCAAAACAAATAGATACGTTTACCTGCAGTATCTTGCAAAATTATCCTTTTGTACTTCCCTATACCAACTGTAAGATAACCTCAGAATGTTCAGTATCTCGGTGTATCTGACTACTAATATGTAGCTATCTAAGCCAAATGGCATGTTTTAAAGGGCTTGCAGTGTATAATGTTTGCCTGCAGTAGCAGGGTACTGGACTCAATGACCCGAAAAGTCCCTTCTTATGTCTTATGTTCCTATATTAGTCAAAATATATCAGACTAATAAAGAATTTGTACAGATATTAAAGTGAATTAAAAATATGAAGACAAAATGCCTGAGCCTGCTGGGTCACTGTGAACCGGAGACCATCACAGTGACCTTGAGCTAGTCACTGCCTCTCTCTAAGCCTAAGCTTTCCCATCTGTAAAATAGGAATAATGAAACTGGCCTCCTTTGTAAAGTGGTTTCAGATCTACTGAAAAGTGCTGTATACGTGCTAGGAATTATTATTAAGGCATGTAACATGCAAAAAAACCGAGGAGTCCTTGTGGCACGTTAGAGACTAACAAATTTATTTAGGTATAAGCTTTCATGGGCTAGAACCCACTTCATCAGATGTATGAAGTAGAAGATACAGTAGCAGGTATAAATACATGAAAAGATGTGGGGTGCTTTACCAAGTGTTAAGTCAGTCTAATGAGATAAATCAATTAACAGTACGATACCAAGGGAGGAAAAATAACTTTCGAAGTGGTAAGAGAGAGTTGCCCATTACAGACAATTGACAAGAAGGTGTGAGGAACAGTAGGGAGAAATTAGTATTGGGAAAATTAAGTTTAGGTTTTGTAATGACTCAACCACTCCCAGTCTTTATTCAGGCCTAATCTGATGGTATCTAGTTTGCAAATTAATTCCAGCTCTGCAGCTTCACGCTGGAGTCTGTTTTTGAAGTTTTTGTTGTTGAAGAATTGCCACTTTGAGGTCTGTTATTGAGTGACCAGAGAGACTGAAGTGTTCTCCTACTGGTTTTTGAATGTTATGATTCCTGATGTCAGATTTGTGTCCATTTATTCTTTTGCGCAGAGACTGTCCATATACTGGCCAATGTATACGGCAGAGGGGCATTGCTGGCACATGATGGCATATATCACATTGGTAGATGTGCAGGTGAACGAGCCCCGGATGGTGTGGCTGATATGGTTAGGTCCTATGATGGTGTCCCTTGAACAGATATGTGGACAAAGTTGGCACCAGGGTTTGTAGCAGAGTTTAGTTCCTGGGTTGGTGTTTTTGTTGTGTGATGTGTAGTTGCTGGTGAGTATTTGCTTCAGGTTGGGGGGCTGTCTGTAAGCGAGGACTGGCCTGTCTCCCAAGGTCTGTGAGAGTGAGGGAATTGTCCTTCAGGATAGGTTGTAGATCCTTAATACCATCAGATTAGGCCTGAATAAAGACTGGTAGTGTTTGGGTCATTACAAAACCTAAATTTAATTTCCCCAATACTAATTTCTCTTTACTGTTATTCACACCTTCTTGTCAACCGTTTGTAATGGGCCACTCTCTTACCACTTCAAAAGTTATTTCTCCTCCCTTGGTATTCTGCTGTTAATTGATTAATCTCATTAGACTGACTTAACACCCCACATCCTTTCATGTATTTATACCTGCTATTGTATCTTCTACTTCATACGTCTGATAAAGTGGGTTCTAGCTCACGAACGCTTATGCCCAAATAAATTTGTTAGTCTCTGAGGTGTCACAAGGACTCCTCCATTTTTTTGCTAATACAGACCAACACGGCTACCACTGAAACCTGTCACCACGTAATATGGTTTCTCTTGTAGAGCAAATAATGTGTCTTATATACAACTTTAGTACTTACGGGTAAAATGATTAGAAGTGGATGGATTGACACTATCACCACTGTCCGCACTTTCACTGCTAGAAATGTCATCATCAGATTCCCGCACAGAGGAGCAGGGTGAGGAGCCATCAACTTCTTCAAATTTCCTCTTTAAAATTCCACTCATAGCTGCAACGCTGTCACATGTACCTGTAACAGGAACAAGAGCAATGAAGCACTGAAAAATTTGACCACTGACCATACAATCAAGGTCTACAATGTAATTTTATGGGGATTTTTATACACAAGATAGACTATCACTTTTGTTCCTGAATGACTGTTTATTGGGATGTATTGTATACGTTATAGGAAAGTAAAAAGAAAAACACAAAACCAAACCCAGTAGTAATTTGCTATCCATGAAGAAGAGGTACAACAGATTGCTTTTCATGATGAGAGGTATCTTTTGTTACAACAGTTACCCCCTTTATGGAAAGCACTAAAATCTAATTTGAAAACAGGCTGTTCTCAGGCCAACAGAGATACACAGAAATGCGAAAGCATCTCATTAAGGGCCTGATCCTCAGGAGCTGAGCACCCTAAACGTCCACTGATTTTAGTACCTTTTAGGATTGGGCCTTGAGTTTCTCTTCAGAATTCCTCAGGCTGACTGAATGAGTGGCCTTGACAGGCTCTGGAGGGAGATGCCGCTAGCCTCTCTCAACAGAGAGAAGTTCACTGCAGCACAGGGCAAAGGGATTCAAAAGGGAGGAAATAGTATTTAGCACTCATGTTCTCAAAGTGGTCTACATAAATTAACTAATTAATCAATTCTCACATTGCTCCTGTGTGATACAGTTGAGAAATGACAATTATTGCCATTTTACAAGGAGGTTCAATGCCTTTCCAAAGGCTATCTAACAAATCAGTAGCTAAGTCAGATTTAGGATTCAGGAATTCCTTGCTCCCAGTCACTTACACTAATCACTAAAGAATACGGTCTTATTTTTCATAGGACATACCTCCCCTTTCCACATGGTAAGAAATGGTGGGAAGCCTAATACATTCCAGTCTCATGAGATAAGATTTTGTACAGAAAACCAGGAAGTTAACTAGTCACATAATAATTTTAACAGGTTTTATAAAATGAATCATTTTAAGAGAAAGTCTGCCCTGGCTCCCATGTTGTACAGTTGGAGGTGGGAGAGGCAAGAATACCCAGAGTTTGCTCAGAGGACATGTGCCCTTTACATACCAACAGGACTGGACTTTGCCATATAAACAAATAATCCTTTTTGAATAGAGTTTTCACATAAAATATGAGGACAAGCAGTTTTTAGGTTTATTCAAAAATTAAGGGAAAAAAAAACACATTCCTCCAGTTTAAAAGAAGGTAGTGGGGGCAAGACATCAGTACAGCATGTCAGCTGTGTAACCACAAAGGCTTTGATCCTGTAATGTGCTGCACCTGGGTAGACCCCCTACACCTGTTCAGAACGCACTGACTTCAATGGCACTTCATATATCTGCAGTACATTGCAGGAACAGGGCCCGTGAATCCGATTTCAATGAACCAAAGTGACAAAATAGAGAGTTAGACCTGCTTCTCTGCTCTGCCTTGCCTCAAAGCATTGCACAAAGCTAACACTTAGGAATGAGTTATAGATAAATTTTAGCACAGCAGCTCTACATAATCTTGCCTTTATAAATGTAAAGCAGAAACTGTAGACATGGACATTATTTTATTATAAGAGGTTTTTTTTTGTTTTCTGCTTTATTTAACGGTAAGAATTAGGATTTGCTCTAAAGGATTGTTTGCCTATTAAGGCTTGGTCTACACTATGGTCAGGTCGATGTAAGCTGCCTTACATCTACCTAATAATGCATGTGTCTTCACTACCAGGTCCCTTCCACCAACGTAATTCGCCTGCTACGTTGACTTAATTATTCCACCTCCACAAGAGGCAGAGTGCTTAATTCGATGTTGTCAGGTCAACACAGAGGCAGTGTACACACTGTATTGCTTACATCAACTTAACTGGCCTCCAGGAGGTTTCTCACAAAGCTCCACTATGACCATGCTGGTAAATGTTTTCAACTCCACTGCATAGCAGCCAGGTACAGTAACTCCTCACTTAACTTTGTAGTTATGTTCCTGAAAAATGCGACTTTAAGCGAAACGATGTTAAACTAATCCAATTTCCCCATAAGAATTAATGTAAATAAGGGTGTTAGCTTCCAGGGAAATTTTTTTCACCAGGCAAAAGACTATATTATATACACACGCACACACAGACACACACACACACAGAGTATAAGTTCTACACAAACAATTTAATACTGGCACACAGATGATGATTGTGAAGCTTGGTTGAGGTGGAGGAGTAAGAGGGTGGGATATTTCCCTTACTGCTAAATGATGAACTAGCAATTGGCTGAGCCCTCAAGGGTTAATTCTCTCACTCTACAAGGCAGCAGGAATGGAGGGAGGGGGTATGTGTGAGAGGGAGATGCGCATTTCCCCTTTTAAGTACATGTAATGTCATCCTGCAGAATTTGATTTCTACACCCCCACACACTCCTTTTAGAGTTCCTATGTGATGATGAACAAGTTACAAACTAAACTTTTCAGAGGAGTTTCTTATTTTCTTATTTTCTGAATACTGAACTTGAGACACCTGGGGGCTGATTTGCAGAAATGCTCACAACTGGAACATAGGTCAACGGGAGTTCTGGTCTGAACATATAAAGTGCTATAAAATGCAAAGTTCTCTGAAAAATCAGGGCCCAGATGTCTCAAACTGAGCACTCAAAATTAATCAAGACTTCTGACAATTTCCCCCTTAATCTCTGCCTCAGTGCCCATGTGTAAAATGGGGATACCATCACCTCACCTTTTGGGGCTGTTGTGAAAATAAATTAATTAGTTGTAAAGCACTGAGATGCTATGATGAGAGCATCATAGAAAAACCCAGGAAGAAATTAATATTTCTGTATTCAGTGTAGGATTTATATGGTGCACAATAAATAATGCATGGGATTACAGGTTGAAAGATGAAGAGAAAGAGAAATATGGAATAGCAACCCATTCAATGAGCACCAGCCTTTCTGTTCACTGAATGAGGCAGGTGGAAAAAATAGCACGTGATCATGTAAATAAAGATGGTATCATAATGAATATGCAGAAAGGAGCTGAATTAAGATAGCATCGGCCACCTTAATTCTGGCATTTCTTAACTTCTGAGAGCATGACCTTGCAACTTTAATTGTCTTTTAATATAGATTTTTGGATGTAGCATTATATAATTTCAGTATATATACATTTAATATATACATTATTTAAAGGACCTAAATGGATTTTGTTCTGGCAACTTGTAATGTATGTATCTTGAAAATGAGCTTTTATATTTTGTGTACCGTACCTTTAAATTCCTAAGAGCTGTCTCTTTGTACAGACAGCAGACATTGTGCACTCAGAGCTGCTGCAATCTGTTAGAGAGGATATACACTCAGGGTGTTTTCTCATGAAACTTTTGTTTGTTCTCTGTTTTCCTTAATTTAAAATACTATATACTTTAAACTGATAATGTGGTTTTTTCTCTTTGTGTTTTGAAATATAAGGGCAATTAAGTTAGTTTTCTTAAACAAAGGAAAAGGTCATCTTCTGAAATACTAAAACCTAACATTTGTATCTTTGTACAAATTGTTAAATAGACAAGAACACTGATATAGCCCAGTTCTCTAGTACATAGGGCAGACCTGTCCACATTTTTTGAGACAGAGAAGAAATATTCTGCACAGTTATTATTACATATTCGGTCAGCGGTCACTGTTTCTTTAGTAGCTCTACTATGACTTGTAGGGTTGTCTTGGATGATATCCTACTGGGAAATTATATGGGTTAGCCACCAGAAATGGAAGAGATGAAATAGTAGCTCAGAGATACATTATGAATTGTTCTTGTCCTTAGCAGAAATATTTGAGGAATAGTATCTGAACCAAAAGAATTATTTTCAGGTTCCCCATAAACAAATCTAAAATTATCAGTAGGGGGTTGATTTTGCATGAGGCCAAACTACTAAGCACCTTGCAAAATTGAGGTATGGATCCAGAAATCAACTGTTAGAAGGCATTTCCATTCAGGATTTTGGACTACATTCCTCTGAAATGCCAAGCGATGATTGAGGAAAATGCTAGGCATGATTTTGTGAACAGAAGTAACTGGAAACTGGAGTTCAAAACTTTAGAGTACACACACACTTCTATCAGTAGAGAGGAAGTATTATTATTTACCTCTGAATCTGAGAAAAGTTATTTTTCCAACTAGAGCTTACCATATTAAACAGCAATTAGTAAAAAGATATTTAAGTGAATGGGGTTAGTTTGTCCTCAGAGGATGAATCCAATAAAAACTATTCATAATGGAAAATATAATTTTTTAAGTCTACTGGAAGATCATGACAGTTTTTTTATAATAATAGGTTCAAAATTTAAAAGTGGCTTTACGTGCACAACTTTTCATGCCCAAATCAAAGACAATATACAACCAACATGTAATATTCCAACTCACAGTTTTATCGCCAACCCAAAATGTTCAAGAATCATGAGTCCAGACCCCAAAAAATCATGAGTGGCTTAAAAATAGAAGGTTTTAAAATTAATAAACGTTGAGTTCTTTTTATTTGCCTTCTGTTTTTTGTGTTTTTAAACTTTTAGGGTGCACTTACTTCGCATGTTCAAACTTTTCTCTGCAACCACAAAGGCTGAAAAGTTATTTTTTAAATGAAGGCTGTGAGTTTCATGCAATAGCATAATTTCATCAGCTCAGGCTTTAAGAAAACGACTAAAAATCACAAGAGTTAACAACACTGGGTTTATCTGAATCTATTACTGAAAATAAGCCTCCCCTTGTGTATATAACATATGATGTTCAGTGACTCTTCTAACTATACAAAAATCACCAGCACAATTTAAGTTTCAAATTAAAAAAACAAAACATTTTATCAGCTACATTAAGGTTTCAAATGGTAGCATAATGAATTGTTATATTTAGTGACTACAGCCTCTTGAATTGATTTGGGCTACGGGACTCACAGATTAATGACATGACCCTCAGGTTTCAGGGGTAAGATATAGTGTATGCATCTGTTTTAATATCCCATGACTGCCAGAAAAGTTACTGTATAGAAAGGAGAGTAAAATTCCCATTT